CACTTGTGGCTCTCTCCTGTGCTCAGGAAAGCCAGCTCTTGTTTCAATCTTTGTTAGGATGAAATAGCAAGAGTATTCGTGTGTTAACTCATCAATTAAAATGAAGAAAAGTAACTAGTTTGCTGTCTACCAGGTTGCAGTGTGGATCTTGGAGGTTTTGCTGGTCTTTTTGATTTGAAAGCAGCTGGTTTCAAAGATCCTCTTCTGGCCTCTGGAACAGATGGTGTTGGGACTAAACTGAAGGTAATCAGACACTATTGTGATTAAAGGCATTGTGAAAGATACAAGAAAATCTACCTTTCAAATAAATTTGTTTATCAAATGCATATATTCTCCTTGACAAATAAAGGTAAAAGAACCACAGCAAATAACCATATGTTTTAAACATATGGCTAAAATGTACATTTCTAACAATATTGTTAAAGATGCATTTGGTTCAAAGGATGTTTTAGAGAATAAAAAAGGATAATTTTGGCTAGGCATAGTGGTATGGGCCTTTTATCCCAACACTTGGAAGAAAGAGCAGATGGATGGATCTCTGAGAAATCAAGGCCAGCCTGGTATACATAACAAGTTCTAGACCAGCTGGGGCTGCACAGAGACCCAGTCCCCAAAAAATAAAAATTTAAAAGAGGACAATTTGGGACTGCATAGCTTATCAGAATACAGTATTCTTTTATCTTGGGATATTGTTATAAGCAACTAGCTAAAGTCTGGTATTTGATAGTCTCTGTGGATAGGACCAGACAAAATGTGGAGCTTATTCTCACCTATGACTATTTATATACTGCAGATCGCCCAGCTGTGCAATAGGCATGATACCATTGGTCAGGATTTGGTTGCAATGTGCGTAAATGACATTCTAGCACAAGGAGCAGAGCCCCTCTTCTTCCTTGATTACTTCTCCTGTGGAAAACTTGACCTCAGTACGACTGAAGCTGTTGTAGCTGGAGTTGCTAAAGCTTGTGGCCAAGCTGGATGTGCTCTCCTTGGTATGATCATTTTTGAACCATATTTCCTCTTTACTGCTTATTAGTCTTACGTGTGAATTAAGTGTGTTTGTTGCTAGTAGAGCTACATCACAAGATGAGCAAATGAAATGTAGATAAAACTACCTGAATGACTCTTAGGCTGTATTCCCTCAATGCCTCCTCAAGGGTTTGCCCCCAGACCTTCTCCCCAACTGTTAGGCTCCTGTCTTTCTCCTCTGTGCTCACTTTTTCTGTCTCCATCTTTCTCAGGAGCCTTAACAGACAAACTTGGGGGGTTTTCCTCCTGATTTATAGCAAGGCTTCGGGAATTGCAAATGTTTAAACTGTATTTTCCTGGAGAAGTAACATAAAGGGGCTAGAGAGATGGTTCAGTGGCTAAAAACACTAGCTGCTCTTGTAGAGTACCTGGGTTTGATTCCCAGCACTTACATGGCAGCTAACACCTGTTGGTAAAAACAGTTCCAGGGTATCCAACACCCTCTTCTGACCTCCTCGAGCATTGCAGAATGTGGGTGCACTTATATACATGCAGGCAAAACACATATACACATAAAATTAAATAAGTAAATGTTTAAAAATAAAACAGTGACATGGGGGATAAAATGTTCCCTAGGTTTTATAAAAATACTGCTTAAATATACATGAGGGGTGTTTTGAGTTAAAATAAGTTTGTAGATAGACCAGGGAACAGAACTACCTCTTTTCTATTACCATTTCAAGCTATGTGTAGTGGTGCACACCTATAATCCTAGCACTTAGAGACCGAAGCAGAGATAGGGCTTCAAGTTTGAGGCTACATCACAAGACTGTCTCAAAAGGGGAAAAAAATCCTTACTATGTCTGTGGAAAAATCAGATCTCAAGGCCAAAAACTGCCTTTCAGCCATTTGTATAATATAGTTTCAGAGTTGGAGTCTGCCTGCCTCTACTTTCTATCTTTATGTGATGTGAATTTAAAATTTGCTGTGCTGGGGCTGGAGAGATGGCTCAGCGGTTAAGAGCACTGACTGCTCTGCAGAGGACCCGGGTTCAGTTCCCAGCACCCACATGGCGGCTACAAACCGTCCTTAACTCCAGTTCCAGAGGAATCCAAAGCCCTTTTCTGACCTCCACGGCATTGCATGACATGGGTGCACTCACATACTTGCAGGCAATATACTCATACAATAAAAATAATAAATAAAGTGGGCGTGGTGGCGCACACCTTTAATCCCAGCACTTGGGAGGCAGAGGCAGGCGAATCTTTGTGAGTTCAAGGCCAGCCTGGTCTACATAGTGAGTTCCAGGAGAGCTGAGGCTACAAGGAGACCCTGTCTCAAAAAAGACTAAATAAATAAATAAATAGAAAAATATGCTGTGCTATAATGTGTAGCCGAGGGTGCTTGGGTTTGGGCAGTTTAGGTTAAATTGCGTCTCTAAACTGTGCTATCATCTAGAAGATTGAGTGATTATGAAGGTCAAATAACTTTGAAAGCACTTCTGAAGCCAAACTGCTGTAGAAATGATGTTATATTCAGCTGAGCATGGGTCCGATCTAGGTCGTGGTATTTGAAGGCCATGTACAGACTCAGAGGTGTTCCCTCAGCATCCTTTTCAAGGATTACTCTCCCTTGAAATCAGTTAGGCAGCAAATAGAATACTGGGTATACCCACATGTTTAATTGTTCATGTTGAGTCGTTTCTAGCATGATAATGGTGGTGCATGCCTTTAATCCCAGCACTTGGGAGGCACAGAGGCAAGTGGATCTTTGGGATCAAGGCCAGTATGATCTACATAGTGAGCTCTAGACCAGCTGGGGCTGCTCAGAGACCCTGGCTCAAAAGAGAAGAGCAGGTCCTATCAGTGTAGGCTGAGTAGATGTGTCTGTATAATGTGGTATCTTTGTTCTTCTCTTACCCTACCAGGTGGGGAAACAGCAGAAATGCCTGACATGTATCCTCCTGGAGAGTATGATCTTGCCGGGTTTGCCGTTGGTGCTATGGAGCGGGATCAAAAACTCCCTCACCTGGAAAGGATCACCGAAGGGGATGTTGTTGTTGGAGTAGCTTCATCTGGTCTTCACAGCAATGGATTTAGCCTTGTGCGGAAAATTGTGGCAAAGTCTTCCCTCCAGTACTCCTCTCCAGCACCTGATGGTTGTGGTCACCAGTCTTTAGGTAAACTGGCATGTCTGTGCAAAGTCACAGTCATTGTCCATTTCAGGATTGTTTATGTTCGGTTTTGTATTTGTGGACTAAGTTTTTGCCTCATCACTACAATCCACAGGAGACTTACTTCTCACTCCAACCAAGATCTACAGCCAATCACTGTTACCTATCATACGTTCAGGACATGTCAAAGCCTTTGCTCATATTACTGGAGGAGGACTGCTAGAAAATATTCCCAGAGTGCTCCCTCAGAAGTTTGGAGTGGATTTAGGTAAGATCAATAAAAGAAATTTGTATTTGAAAAAAATTATTGAGGGGAAAAAATGTACCATGGGTATTGAGTGCACACACAGTTAGGTATGGGAGGTTCTTAATAATTGGTGGTGCTTAGGGGTAAAAATATACCTCTTTTTATTTTATTATCCATATTTACAAGGTGTAAAATCCTGTCATGAAATGGCTTAAAGATGAAGTGCTATAAGCAAATCTCCACAGGAGTTGGTGACCAGACCTCTGTTAAGATGGGGCCCTGCATACCAGGAAAGAAAATGGTAGCTTAAGTAGTCCACACAGGAGGTAAAGGGACTTGAACCAGGTTATAGAGAAGGCAAACAAATGGGAGAATTATTCCATTAAAAAGAAAAAGAAGTCCCAGGTTCCTGGTCAGGCAGGTGAGTAGATGGCAGCATCACTAACACAGGAGGAAGGTAGGAAAGTAGGAAGTGAAGATACAGTTTCAAGATATTAATGTCGGAGCTGGAGAGATGGCTCAATGGTTAAGAACACTGACTGTTCTTGCAGAAGACCTGGGTTTGAATCCCAGCACCCACATGGCAGCTAACAACTATCCATAACTCCAGTCCCAGGGGATCCGACAGCTCCTTCTGTCCTCGGTGGGCATTGCACGGCATGGGTGCACTTACCTACATGTAGGCAATACACTAATACACATAAAAAATAATAATAATAAATTTTTAAAAAGATATTTAATGTCTTTATTCCGAGGCATCTGTGATTAGAAATCAGGATTGGGCTGAATATGGGTTGGGTGGTTGTATGTGCATAGTTACAGTGATAACCACGAGAATGAAGAGGACCAAAAAGTTGTTTCTCACAAGAAGAACTGTTGACAAGAATAATAAGAGAGCTAACCATGTCAAAGTATCATTATCAGACCCAAGGAAGAGCCTCTCAGGGTATACACAGATCAGTGGTGGAGCACAGGCTTAACATGTACAAGGCCTTGGGTTTACTCCCTAGTACCAAAATAGAGTCCCAAGGAAGAATTTTGATGTGATGCCAGTCAGTAATGTCAGGTATGGCACAGATCAGATCACAGAGCAGCTTACTGGAAATAGAACCACCCACCAGATTATTGTAAGGGAAATGGATGGAAGATATGGACCATGCAAGACAGCTCCTTTACTAGGAAGAGGACAATAATTATTTACCTACAGCAGAAGTAAGGAACAGGGTTTTCCCTCCCTGTTTTTATGGGATAAAGATAAAGTCAGAAGAACCAGTCCAGCTTTCAGGTCAGCTGATACACATACATTGGTTTGAAGGAGTAGAAACCGAGGAAGTGATGTGTTAGGAATTAAGTGAAATAAGCAGACCTGGTGAGGGAGCTTAAATGAGTGTGAAGGTCAGAAACAAGGAGACTGCAAGTCCAGGTGAAGTTGAAGCTTATCTACCTCTCCCAAGAAGCCTTGAAGGGAGAACAGAAGAAATAGCCTAATTGATCCAATAGAGCTGGGCAGGTGTAGGGGGGCAATACTTGGGGATAATGTGGAGAAGCAACCATGGATAGAGATCAGTAGGGCTAACCTGTAGTCAGCAGAGTGTGAAACTGATAGAAAATCTGGAATCAGAAGTGGGTTGTAGCTGGGCATGGTAGTGCATGCCTTTAATCCCAGTACTTGGGAGGCAGATCTTTGTGAGTTCAAAGCCAACCTGGTCTACACAGCGAGTTCCAGGCCAGCTGGGGCTACAGGGAGACCCTGCCTCAAAAAAAAAAAAAAAAGTGGGTTGTAAGAGGTAAAGAACTGGGCATGTAAGTTTAGGAGTAGTGGGTGAGCTCTGAAAGTCAGCAGGAAGGCAGGCACAGCAGCCTGGCTGAGCTGAGCAGGAATCTCTTCCAGGCCCACAGAATGACCATTGTCCAAAGTTAAAGCATTCATAGGAGAGTGTAACTGGTGATTTTTGGTTCCTCAACTAGAAATGCTTTCCAGTGAACTTTAAACTCATAAAAAGGGGGCTGGAGAGATGGCTCAGCAGTTAAGAGCACTGACTGCTCTTGCAGAGGACCTGGGTTTGATTCTCAGCACCCACATGGTGGCTACGAACCATCCTTAACTCCAGTTCCAGGGGAATCCAAAGCCCTCTTTGATCTCCACGGCATTGCATGACACGGGTGCACTCACATACATTCAGGCAATACACTCATACACATAAAAAAATGAAAATAATGAATTTTTTAAAAACATAAAAAGGATTTCCTTTAACATTCTCTTCAAATAATTAAGAAATATAAAATAAAAAATAACCCTAGTAACCTATCAACGAATGGTAAAACATTTTCCAATCTCTGTAGTGTAAACACTCCTACCAAAGCCAGTTACAAACTGTTTAGCCAGGCACAGTGGCAAAAGCCTTTGAGTCCAGCATTCAGGAGGCAGAGGCAGGTGGATCTCTGGGAGTTCAAGGCCAGCTGGGGCTATAGGGACCCTGTCTCAAAAAGACCAAAAGAAAAAAAAGATGTTTAAAAACTATATGTAACTGCCTGTACAAGCTAACTGTAACACACCATCAAAAAGTCTTATGGCTTGGATTTCACTGTCTTGGATTAGGGGTACACAACCTATATAGCCATATTACTGAAAAGCTATGTGTTTTTTAGTTATACAGTGTCTATCCCAATAAAAACCCTCTTGCCTCAACCTCTAAGAATTTCTTCAAGGAATCAGACTTTGAAACAATAGATTTGAGTAATGAATATTCAACATAAAGATTATAACTTTTTTAATATTTTATTTATTTTTATTTTATGTGTGTGCATGTATTGCCTGCATGTACATAAGTGCACCCATGTCGTGCAGTGCCAGCGGAGGACAGAAGAGGCTGTTGGATCCCCTGGAACTGGAGTTCCGGACAGTTGTTATTTGCCATGCGGGTGCTGAGATTCGAACCTGGGTCCTCTGCAAGAACAACCAGTGTTCTTAACCACTGAACCATCTCTCTAGCCCCAAGATTATAATTTTTATTACCCTGGAAGTACTTGTTCATTTGTACAAAATAGGTCCTTAATTTGTCAAGTTGTGTGTTCTTGTCGTTTAGAGATCTATTTGTTTTGTAGCCCGGGCTGACCTTGAATGTTCTGCCCCAGCCTTCCCAGTGCTGGGATTACACACATGGACTACCATGCCCAACTCACTTTTTCTTTTCTATAATTTCTTTGTAAAATTTTTTTTGTTGCTGGGTGTGGTGGCTAACAACCATCTGTATCTCCAGTTCATCTGGCACCTTCTTCTGACTATCATGTGCACTGCACCTCAGGTACACTTACATACATGCAGGCAGTACACTCATACATGCTAAATAAAAAAAATATTAGAAAAGTAAAAATTTAACATATAAATAAAAGTGTGGGGCTAGAGAGATGGCTCAGCAGTTAAGAACGCTGACTGTTCTCTCAGAGGACCTGGGTTCAGTTCCCAACACCCACATAGTGTCTGACAACTGTCTGTAACTCCATTTCCATGGGATCCAATGCCCTGTTCTGGCCTCCTCAGCACTGTATGACATGGGCGCAGTTATGCACATGCCAGGAATATATGCATACACAAAATAAAACTAAATAAATTTTTAAAAAATCATATCATAGGGAGATAGAGAGATGGCTCGGTGGTTAAGAGCACTGGCTGATCTTGCAGAGGACCTGGGTTTGATTCCCAGCACCCACATGGCACCTAATAACTGTCAGTAACTCTGGTTCTGAGGAATCTGACATCCTCTTCTGACCTCCGTGGGCATTTCACAACACAGGTGCACTTACATACCCAGACGGTACACTCATACACATTAAAATAAAAATCATATAACCATATATGCCAAAGACCTGCCTGTTATTTTTATTATTCAGGAACTTTATGTGTGCATACTAATAAGCCTGTACCTTAAAAATTCTGTTAGTTTTTTATGTATTGCTGACAATAATAGAGGAGTTACATTTTTAACCCAGAGTCTAAATTTTAAAATAAATAAGAGGAAGCACATATTTATCATAAACCTTTTCTGTAACACAACTTTTCTCAAATGGTGTATGTATTTCCTCTAAATCAGTGTGTAAGCTGCCTAGTTCTGCATGATATTTGTAGTGTTTTTTGGTCATCACTAAGACCCAGCTAAACATTGACAGAAGGCAGCATGCCAGTCTCTGTTGAGGTTCAGCTGCTAGCACATCTATTCCATAAAGGGTTTCTAAAGATCCAGTGAGTGCATATAACACAGAACCTCCCTCTTACAAGTGTCATTGTTGGCCAAAAGTGTCATCAGAAATGTTCTTAATGTCTGAGGTACTAATGGGTCACAAAATTCTTGAAGACCAGTTGTTAGTTTTACCCTATATAAAATTACAGAGTCTGTTTATGATTTATTTTTCTATTTGTATGAGACAATAGATTGATCAAACAACTCTTGCTTGTTTTGAGATGCCTGCACCTGGAGGATCCCTAAGGTCTTCTCATGGTTACAGTGGGAAGGACAGCTCTCTGAAGAAGAGATGGCCAGAACATTTAACTGTGGAGTTGGAGCTGCACTGGTGGTATCCAAGGACCAGGCAGAGCAGATTCTGCGTGATATTCGACAGCACCAGGAAGAAGCCTGGGTAATAGGCAGTGTTGTTCTGTGTCCCGAAGGTAATAGCTCCTTACTTGTTTTTAGGTATTTAATCTTAAGTTATAATCTTATACACATGAGCTCTCAGCACCCTACATTCTTCTATTGCCATAGCATCTCTCTTTACTCAGACAAAACATGATTCATGTACCCCAATGCCAGCATGCATCTCTCCATTTCCACTTTCAGACTCTGACACTTCTGTGTAGTGTTCACACATGTACAACTTCACTGCACAGGATCGTTTCCCTGCACAGAACCACCTTGTGGCTCTGCTTGGAGGCTTAGCTCAATCCAAGGATTAGTGAGTGTTCTAATTTGGTTTTTCTTATGCTGTGCTAAGACACTGACCAAGGGGCTAGAGAGATGACTCAGCAGTTAAGAGCACTGGCTGCTCTTGCAGAGGACCCAGATTTGGTTCCCAGCACCCACATGGCAGGTAACAACCATCCATGACTCTAGTTCCAGGATTACCATGCCCTCTTCTGGCCTCTACAAGCATTGCATGCATGTGGTACACTTGCATACATACAGGCAAAACACAAGCATAAGCCAACTTGGGAAAGGAAAGGGTTTATTTGGCTTATAGGTTACAGTCTATCATCAAGGGAAATCAAGGCAGTAGCTTAAAGCTTTCTTGGCTTGCTCAACTGCCTTTCTTTCATAGCCCAGGCCCACCTACCTAGGGATGATACTGCCCACAGTGGGCTGGGCCCTCCTACATCAGCAGTTAGGACATGGCCACAGGCCAATCAAGGAGGAAATTCCTCAATTGAGGTTCACCCTTCCCAGCTATGTCAGGTTGACAACTGAAGCTAACGAACCGGTAGAGAGTGAACACCCTGACCAGTACTATGCATTAGTCAGGTCCCTGTTAGAAGTGCTAGAATTTAGCTGGACATGGTGGCACATGGGGAATCACTGTGAATTCAAGGCCAGCCTGGTCTACATAGCAAGTTCCTGGCTAGCTGGGGCTGCAGGGAGACCCTGTCTCAAGAAAAAAAAAAGTGCTAGACTTTAACAGGATGGCAGTCTATTCAGATAGGTAATAAAAGATGTCAGAGCTTGTTGACCTTGCTCTATCTGAGCCTTTCTCCTCTCTACTATGTAACTCTCATTTTCAGTAACATCCTTCAGCTCACACTGTAACAGGAAACCCTCTCTTTCTCAACACAGCATCCTGTGTCAAGTCTGAATGGCTTTGCTGGGTTACAGGAGTCCCATAAAGCCAGAATGTCATGGCACACTGTCCTGAGTAGTCTGTCTAAGAAGTTTTGGGGAGTGGGGCAGACACTGGCCAGTGTTATATGCAACACAGGCCTCACTGCAGGGCTATGTCCTACACTGTGTCCTACACTGTGTCCTACAGCTCCTACTTGAAACAGGTGATTCTTTGTTCACCTTCAGGAAGTTTTAAGGATGAGAAATGGTTGAGTGATGTTGACCTGGTATTTAATTCCTGCAGGCCTTATTTTCAGAAGAAAACGCAGTGTTCACAAGTGTTTTTATAATATAATGTTTTTCTATTCCTATTAACTCATAGTTGTTCTTTATTTATCATATGCTTGAAATGAAGATTCTCCTCGTGTAAAAGTCAAGAATTTGATTGAAACCATGCAAATAAACAGGTCAGTGTTGACAAATGGCTTCCTGACAGATCGTTTCCCTACCCAACCAAGAAAGGCAAGAGTGGCTGTGCTGATATCTGGAACAGGTAAGACATGGCTTCTTCCCCACTACAGAGCACAGAGCTCACCCCTCCCTGTCCTCTTCTCTTACCTTCTTTAAACCATTCCCGGGGAATAAAAATGCAAATGGTATGGATACTCTCAACAGAACCTGGGTGGGGCATCATCAAGAGGCATTATATTTTTAGCATTCTTTAGTCCTTCCACTTTTCTTACGAATTTAAAACAGTTTACTTGAGAGAAAAAATAGAGGATGTGAGAAAGATGATTAAAGAGAAATTAAGACAAGGGATAGGAATTCCAACTCCTTTTGTATCGTATCTTTGTAGTTGAAAAAGTTTAAAACTGCTGAGAAGTTTTTTATCATTTATAGATTAAAAATGAAAACTTTACAGACAGAAGAGCATTTTATTCTATCAGATGAATGTAGCTTCACTTTTTCTGTTTGTTCTTTGTTTTTGAGACACTCAGGAGCAGCCCAGGCTGACTGGAAATCAGAATCCTCCTCCTGCCTCAGACATTGTGCTGGTATTACAGGAATAAGCCACCATACCCAGCTCTGACTTTCTTTTCCCTATAAGCAAGATTACTATAAACTATGTGAATAAACATGCTGTTAAATTCAGCTGATTATTTCTTTAGCATGTAGCCCCAATGGCATAATTGCTTTACAAGGTACAGTTTAATATAAATGTTTTAGGCCCAATTTTTGGTTTTGTTTTGTTTTGTTTTGAAACAGTGTCTCCCTGTAGCCCCAGCTGTCCTGGAACTCACTGTGTAGATCAGGCTGGCCTTGAACTCACAGAGATCCACCTGCCTCTACCTCCCAAGTGCTGAGATTAAAGGCATGCACCACCATGTCCAGCCATTTTTGTTTTTTTAAGACAGGGTTTTCATGTAGCCCCATGATGGCCTTGAACCTCTGCCTCCTGAGTGCTAGGGTTAAAGTGATGTGCCATTGTGCCCAGCTGGTTTTGTTATTCTTCGGCAATCAATTTATTTTATTTTATTTTTTATTCTATGTGTATGAGTGTATTGCCTGAATGTGTATAAGTATATGCATGTCATGCAATGTCTGAGGAGGTCAGAAGAGGGTGTCAGATCCCCCGGAACTGGGGTTACAGACAGTTGTTAGCCACCATGTGAGTGCTGAGAATTGAACCCAGGTCCTCTTCAGGAGTAGTCAGTGCTCTTAACCACTGGGCCATCTCTCTAGCCCCAGGGATCAATTTAAGAAGTGTGAGCTCATTTGTTTTTTACCTGCTTTTCAGGATCAAATCTCCAAGCCCTCATAGACAGTACACAGGATACAAAAAGTTCTTCACACATTGTTGTTGTTATCTCCAACAAAGCTGCTGTGGCTGGCTTAGAAAAAGCAGAAAGAGCTGGTATTCCCACCAGAGTAAGTTACTTCAGAAAATAGCTTTCGTGCAGACTGTGCTGTGCTTGGTTTTGTTGTGTTGTTTGCTTGTCTAGTACCAGATACTAACCTGGGGCCTCAGATGGACCACTTAGCAGCACCTCCAGCCTCCTGCAGGCTGTCCTTACGTTCTCTCACAGGCCCACCTGTATAGGTTGCATAATCTTTGGACTTCTGCATTTGGGGTTGGTGCTGCGATTGCCTTTCTACTTAATCCTAATCATTCTTCATCCATCTCTATTGGGTGTATCTTCACTACTGAAGTATAGTCTGAGTACAGGTTATGTTTAAATTCTTTTTGATAATTCACTGAAATTGAAATGTGTTTGCCTTTTCCTGTTACAGGTAATTAATCATAAATTATATAAAAGTCGTGTGGAATTTGACAATGCAGTTGACCAAGTCCTTGAAGAGTTCTCTACAGACATAGTCTGTCTTGCAGGATTTATGAGAATTCTGTCTGGCCCTTTTGTCAGAAAATGGAATGGTAAGCAAAAGTCATTTGACATTCCATTGGGAAATAACTGAAAATGGATGCAAAGTGCTCAGCTTTCCAAATAGTCCACATGCTGAAATATTTTAATACAGGTCCTAACTTAATTTCATTTGCTTTAATCTGGAGCAAGCCCAAATGATGATTTATTGACCAGTTCTCAGCTTTGCTTACTGTAAGTAATCACTATTTCCAATATGACAGTTTAATTTCACATTATTGTAGAGATAAAGTTCATCTTTTGAGAAGTATTTGGAAGATATTTTTACTCGTTTAGAGACAAGAAAAATGATGCTTAGCCTACACCTTAATCCCAGCACCTGAGGCTTGAAAGCTCAAGGTCATCCTGACTACTTAGCAAGATTCACTGCTCAGAGCAAAACAAAGGAGAAAGTGAGGAAAAGAGGAGAGAGATCTGTGTATCCCAAAATGAAGACTCTGCTGGGTGTGATCTTACAAGCCTGTGGTCCTGATACTCCAGAGACAGGCCAGCCTGGAGGAACTACATAATGAGTTTAAAAGCAGACAAAGCAAGACCTTATCTCAAAAAAAAAGGAGATGGGGGTGTAGTTCAGTGGTCAGGCACTTACTTAGCATGTACAGAGCCCTGGTTTGATAGCTGGTACTACAGAACACAACAAAATGAAGTTCATCCTCTCCTAGGACAGAAAGACCTTTGCCAGAAGATGGAAAGAAAGTCATTATTGCCAAAAATAGTAGAAATATATACAATCTTGCATTTTATTTATATATACATATGTTTATTTATATTTAGTTTGTGTACACGGGGCAGTGGTGTGTACCTTGACACACTTGCAGAAATTAGAGAACAACTGGAGGGTGTTTGTTCTCTCCTTCACCATGTGGGTCTTAGGATCAAACTCAGGTCATTGGGCTTGGGACAGTCACCTTTACCAGCTAAGCCATCTCACCAGCCCTCTTCTCTTTTCTCTAGAAACTTTGACTTCACCCTGTTGTCAGTTTTTATGTCTACATATTTGGGCATCTTTCCTCCAGAGAATTTATTTTCTAAGATATAGTCAGAGCATTTGTGATTCTAGACAGGAAAGCATGTTCCTTAAACAGAATGAATGGGATCTAAAATTTCTGACCACTGTTTTTTGATTTCTAGGGAAAATGCTCAATATCCACCCATCTTTGCTCCCTTCTTTCAAGGGTTCAAATGCTCATGAGCAGGTCCTGGAAGCTGGAGTCACAATCACTGGGTGCACTGTACACTTTGTAGCTGTGAGTATGTCTTCGTCTACCAAAAGTGTAGGGCTGCACTGCCTAGAAAGTGAAGTTTAAAACTTTTGCTTCTTGGGGTTGGAGAGATGGATGGCTCAGTGGTTAAGAAAGAGCACTGGCTGCTCTTGTAGAGGACCTAGGTTCAGTTTCTAGGACTCACATGGTGGCTAACAACCATCCATAACTCCAGTTCCAGGGGATCCAACACCCTCTTCTGACCTCCATGGGCATTGTACAACATGGGTGTACCTACATACATTTAGGCAATACACTCGTACACATAAAACAAAAATAAATATTTTTTAAAAATAGAGTAACTGGGGCTGGAGAGATGGCTCAGTGGTTAAGAACATTGGTTGTTTTTGCAGAAGACCTGGGTTCGAATCCCAGCACCCACATGGCAGCTAACAACTGTCCATGACTCCAGTTCCAGGGGATCTGACCACCTCTTCTGACCTCCGTGGGCATTGCATGACACGGGTGCACTCACCTACATGCAGACAATACACACACACATAAAATGAAAATAATAAATATAATTTAAAAAAAAAATAGAGCAACTGGCCGGGTGTGGTGGCGCACACCTTTAATCCCAGCACTTGGGAGGTAGAGGCAGGGGGATCTGTGTGAGTTCGAGGCCAGCCTGGTCCACATAGTGAGTTCCAGGACAGCTGGGGCTACAAGGAGACCCTGTCTCAGAAAGACCGGAAAAAAAAAAAAGAGCAACTGGGCATGGTGGCGCATGCCTTTAGTCCAAGCACTCAGAAGGCAGAGGCATGCGAATTTCTGTGAGTGAATTCCAGGCCTGCTGGGGCTACAAGGGGAGACTCTGTCTCAAGAAGAACAACAACAAACATTTTTGCTTCCTTTTCCAGGAAGACGTAGATGCTGGACAAATTATCTTACAAGAAGCAGTTCCTGTGAAGAGGGGTGACACTGTTGCAACTTTGTCTGAAAGAGTAAAAGTAGCAGAACATAAAATCTTTCCTGCAGCCCTCCAGCTGGTGGCCAGTGGGACTGTACAGCTTGGAGAAAATGGCAAGATCTGCTGGGTCAAAGAGAAGTGAGGCTTCTGATTCAGGATTGCAGCCAGTTCTTAGAGAATAATGGCTGTTTGCTTGATGCCTTTTTGTCATGGTCTTGCTCCAAAACTCAAATAGCTGCTAACAAAAAGACTTTAACCCTTACCTCTTTTGCTATTTTTTAATAAAAAGAGTCATTGAAAACAAGACTTATGTCATATTTTTAAGGTATCTCCCATGGTCATTCTTGTTTATGATCCCACTCATCATAGGTAAACAAAGCACCAAATTCTTTGTCTTAGTTCTCTCTAACCAGAATCTCCACATTCTATATGCTGTTGAAAGCCATGACTGGGATATGTTCACCTTTCATTGGGACAAGGAAGTATGAGGAGGTGCCTGGGGTGGTTCAGACACTTCAATTCCCAGTGCATGCAAGTAGCCGGACATCTTGATTGGGGTCAAGTAGATTTCTCTTCCTTGTGTTTTGTATCTGTGCTAATCTGAATTTGAGACTTCTTCACTTCTCTTGAAGTCAGATTTCTGAGGGATGCTGCCTTTGGTAGCTGCTGGAGTGTCCTCAGAATTAGAAAGTGTCCCAAACAGCTGGGTCACTATGAGGACTGCTTGGCTGATAATTCCCCTCCCAAGGCAGCTGGGACACCAAAGAAGGGTCTAACAGCTGTCAATTAGGAAGTCAAATTGTCCCGGCCCCCAACATAACACATAAAGGGGTGCTTACAATAAAGGCTTATTGTTAATACAGGGCTCTAACAATTCTTAATTCCTGTCCCAGTTCCCAGAGGACCTACCTAGATCCCTCTGCCTCACTGTGTCAGTGCCCAGAATCAACCACTAGCTTACTAGAATCAACCACAGACCTACCAGAATTGATCAATGATCTAGAGTTAACCACTGATACAGAGTTAAATAATGATCTAGAGGTGGCAACAAACCACAATTCAACCAATGAGCTATTCCCAGAGCACAGACCTAGAACTGACTGTGGGCATGCATGTTCTGGGAGAACATGCAGATTCTTAAATTCTCTGCCATCATTGAGACAGCCACCTCAATGATGGAAGAAGCCAGTGAGGTTGCAGATAACCCCAATATGTCATAGACAGGGAACTTTGTGGGTAAAAATCTTGTGTATCATTGTCTGATGAGCTAATGGAAACCACCACAGTCCTTCCACAGGGAAGCAATGATTCTGTCATTTCTTAGTGTGACTTTAAAATTGAATAAAGGGCTAGAGAAATGACTCAGAGGTTAAGAACACTGGCTGGCGGCTCTTCCAGAGTACTCTGGTTTGGTTCCCAGCACACACATGGCAGCTCACAACCCCTGTAACTCCAGTTCCAGGGAATCTGATGCCCTTTTCTGCCCTCTTTGGGCACTGTACACATGTGGTGCACTTATATACATTCAGGCAATACTCTCATACATTAAAATTAATAAAATATTTTTAAAATTCAGTTAAGTCTTCATTAGCTGTGACTATCACTCTGCTGAACACCAGTCCATTTCATTTCCTGTTTCTGTGATGAAATACCCTAACAAAAGAAAATCTTGAAGCAGGAGAGATGGCTCAGCAGTTAAGAGCACTGGTTGCTCTTGCAGAGGACCAGGGTTCGATTCCCAGCACCCACTTGGCAGCTAACAACTGTGACACCATTTCCAGGGGATCTGATGCCCTCTTATGTCCTCCTTGGGTACTGCATGCACTTCTATACATTCAGGCAATACAGTTATACACATAAAATGAAAATAAAATAATTTTTTAAAACGGGGGCTAGAGAGATGGCTCAGCAATTAAGAGCACTGACTGCTCTTACAGAGGACCTGGGTTCAATTTCCAACACCCTCATGGTGGCTACGAACCATCCTTAGCTCCAGTTCCAGGGAAATCTGACACCTTCTTTTGACTTCTGTGGCACTGCACAACACAGGTGCCTTTACACACATGCAGGCAATATATTCATACACATAAAAATATAAAATATTAAAAACTTTAAGGGAGAAAGTTCGTTTGGCTCACTTCCAGGTTGCAGTCCATCACTGTGTGGGATGTCAAGGCAGGTACTGAAGCAGCTGGTCACATCCACAGTCAAGAGTAGAAAGAAAATGAATGCCTGCATGCACAGATGCACATGTGCACACCAACATGAATGTGTACATACACATACACATGCATATACACATGCACGTGTTGAAACTTGGAATATATTTTACTGGCAAGGAAGGGATGACGATATTAGGCCCATGACTGGACCTGGAAAAGGATGTCTTTTGCAACTTGGAGGAACTTGCTTCATAGTCATGTTTTAGTTTTTATTTTGAGTTCTTTAATTTTTTTATTTATGTGTATGAGTGTTTTGCCTGCATGTATGTAAGTGCACCATATGTGTACAGTGCCCAAAGAGGCCAGAAAAGGGCATCAGATTCCCTGGAACTGGAGTTACAGGGGGTTGTGAGCTACCATGTGGGTGCTGAGAACCAAACCTGAGTCCTCTGCAAGAGCAAAAAGTGCTCTTAACTTCTGATCTGTCTCTCCAACCCCTGGTTTTGGTTTTTGAAACAGGATCTCAATATATAGCCCAGACCAGCTATGAACTCCCAATCACCCAGCCTTAGCCTGCTGAGTGCTGTGATTATAAATATGCATCACCATGCCAGGAGATTGATGGGTCTTAATGGAGCCTTCTTGTGTTCTCTACATAATCTTAAGGGAAATGTTCATTTTTTTCCCACTGGTAGCTTATAAAGAAAGAAGGATTTCATCTGCTCCACGGTTGCTGGAGGCAGGAATTGGCGGCTCTCAGTTCTGTCAGGTGATGATTTGAACACAAGACTCTTTGCTCTAAGTGACAAAACCATTTTAACTCTTACAAGGTGTACAGCTCTGTTAGATGGAGTATATTTACATTGCTGTGCAGTCTTCAGAACATTTTCCTCTTGCAAAATGGAAACACTCTCTTCATTAAATCACTTCCTATTTCCCCAGTTCCTGGCAAGCATTATTCTGTTTTTTTGGTTTTTTTGTTTTTGTTTTCCTATGCATTTGAATTCTCTTGGTACTTTACAAAAGGGCAATCAGAGAATTTGCAGGTGACATGATGCTATACGTAAAAGACCCTGTAGAATCTACTAGAAAACTCTTAAATGTAACAAATACCATATATATATATTTTTTTAATCTGTATGCGTGTATTGCCTGCATGTGTCTAAGTGCACCCATGTCATACAATGCCTGCAGAGGACAGAAGAGGCTGTCGGATCCCCTGGAACTGGAGTTATGGACAGTTGTTAGCTGCCATGTGGATTCTGGGATTCGAACCCGGGTCTTCTGCAAGAACAGCCAGTGGAGAGATGGCTCTTAACCACTGAGCCATCTCTCCAGTTCCTAATAAACACTTTCAATAAAGTTGAAGGATACAAAATATTAAAAAGTACCCTTCATGTATGGCAACAATAACTCTCAGAGAAAGAAATTAGAAAAAATATCTCATATTAACTCTAAAAAATGAACTACCAGGGCTGGAGAGATGGCTCAGTGGTTAAGAGCACTGACTGCTCTTGCAGAGGACCTGGGTTTGATTCCCAGCACTCACATGGTAGCTACGAACTGTCCTTAACTGCAGTTCCAGGGGAATCCTAAGCCCTCTTCTGACATCTGCAGCAGTGCATGACACAGGTGCACTCACACACATAAAGTAAAAATAATAAAAATATTTTAAAAAATAAAAATAAACTACCTAGAATACATCTAACAAAGAAGTGAAAGGCATCTACAGTGAAAACTTCAAGACATTAAAAAAGGAAACCAAAGAAGACACTAGATGATGAAAGAACTTCCACACTGGATTGGTAGAATTAATTTCAGGTAACTAGCTCTACTACCAAAACTAATCTATAGATTTGATGTAATACCCATCAAAATTCTGGTGTCATGCTTCACGGACCTAGAAAAAACAAGAATTCATATGGAACTACAAAAGACTGCAAACAGCCAAAGCAGCCTAAAGAAAGGAGCACAGCTGGAGGTATCAACACCTAACCTCAAATTATACTGCAGAGGGACTGGGCAGATGGCTCCCGGCTTTAATAAAATATCTTTTAAAAAGACATGGAGGCCGGGCGTGGTGGCGCACGCCTTTAATCCCAGCACTCAGAAGGCAGAGGCAGGCGGATCTTTGTGAGTTTGAGGCCAGCCTGGTCCACATAGCAAGTTCCAGGAAAGCTGGGGCTACAGGGAGACCATCTCAAAAAGAAAAAAAAAAACGACATGGAGGAAGCTTAAATGCATGTTATAAGTTTTTTTTAATTTTGTTATTTTTATTTTATGTGTATGTATGTGCATTGTCTGCATGTAACTAAGTGTACCATTGTCGTGCAATGCCCGCGGAGGACAGAGAGGCTATCGGATCCTCTGAAACTGGAGTTATGGACAGTTGTGAGCTGCCATGTAGGTGCTGGGATTCAAACCCAGGTCTTCTGCAAGAATAATCAGTGTTCTTAACCACTGAGCCATCTCTCCAGCCTCCTGAGTGTAAGTCTTTTAAGGCTTCATACTGTGTAGTTCCAGCCATATGACATTCCAGAAACCAAACCAAACCACTACTGGGAAATAGGGGGAGAAGGTGAATGAACAGTTCTCCAAGTACATGGTCAAAAAGCATATGAATGGATAGTCAACATCCCTAATCAAAACCAGAGCAAGGTAATGCTTTAAAGCCATTAAGATGGCTGCTTATTTTATTTTATTTTATTTTGCGTATGAGTGTTTTGCCTGTGTGTATGCAGTACACCCATGTTGTGCAATGCCCACAGAGGCCATAAGAGGAGTTGGATCCTCTGGAACTGGGGCTATTGATAGTTGTTAGATGCCATGTGGGTGCTGGGGACCGACTCTGGGTCCTCTGCAAGAGCAACCAGTGTTCTTAACTGCTGGATCATCTCTCCAGCCCCTTCTGAGATTTTTTTTTTTTTCTGGTCTTTTGAGACAGAGTCTCCCTGTAGCCCCAGCTGGCCTGGAACTTGCTGTGTAGACCAGGCTGGCCTTGAACTCACAGAGATTCACCTACCTCTGCCTCCCAAGTGCTGGGACTACAGGGGTGCACCACCACACCCGGCAGTCCTTCATTCATTTTTTTTAAGTTTGCTAATCTTTTGGTGTTTATAGTCTTGTGAATGTAACC